AACTTGGCTGTACGCCTTGTAGAAAAGTTGGAACTCTTGGAGTTGAAATGAAAATGGGAATGAAACTTTCCAAAGAATGGACCAACAATGAGATAACCTATTCTGGCAAAGATAGGAAGCAACAGTTGAGCTCACTTCAGAAAAAAAATTTTGAGCACAGAGAATCTGCTGCACATAAAGCAGCATTAAAAATAGTTGCTGAAAGTGAAAAAATGACTCTTGAGAATGTTTTTTTAACATCATTATCTCACGAAAAAATAATAACTGCAAAAATTTTTTGAACTGCATATAAAGTAGCAAAGGAAAATCAATCATTCCATCATTTTGAAATGGAAATCGATCTGCAAGAACTGAACCGAGTTGAAATGGGTTGCATTCTTCATTCTACAAATGCGTGTATTAACATTGTTAATCATATAAGTGAAGAAATGAGGAAAACTGTGGTTAAAGCAATTGTTCAATCAGATAATAAAATTTCATTGATAATTGATGAATCAACCACAATAAGCAAAAAAACTACCCTCATAGTATATGTTCAATGCTGTATCGAAGTTGTTGGAATGAATTCACCAATAAATTTGTTTTTGGACTTGGTAGAACTTGAAAAAGTAACAGCAGAAGGAGTCATTTGATTCCTTACTCCAATGTCTTCACTCTTATGGGATGACAGAAGATTATTTAAAAAAATATTTGGTTTCTCTGGCATGCAACAGCGTTGCTATGATGTTAGGGTGTAAAAGTGGAGTGAAAAAATTGCTGTCAGAACATTTTCCTTCTATTATAGTTTGGCATTGTGCTAATCACAGACTAGAATTATCAGTAGGTGATGCTGTCAAGGAAACTTCAGGAATAAATAGATTCAAATCATTTATTGATAAACTTTACGTCATATACCATGCTTCGGCAAAGAATAGTACAGAGTTGCATTTATGTGCAGAATTACTGGGGCTGAGCTGCTGAAAATTGGAAGAATTTTAAGTATCTGATGGGTGTCATCTAGTTTCCGTACAGTTTTGGCTGTGTGGAATAATTTTGAATCCCTTGTGTATCATTTTGAAGAAGCAATGCATGATCCTACAAGAAATAAAAATGATAAATGCACTTATGATGCCTTGAAAAGAAACATCACATCTACAGAATTTTTATTGGACCTAGAATTGATGTGTGATGCTCTCCAAGAACTATCAAAATTAAGGTTGGACCTACAGGACAGCAACATGGACTTGTACAAGGCAAATATGAAAATAAAAATACTGGTACAAGTTTTTGAAGAAAAAAGACAGAACTTTAGGCCCTATTATAAATGCGCTGTTGCTGCTGTACATGATCTTTGCTTTTGTGGAGTTTTACTTCATGAAATTCAAGAAAGGATCCTCCCATTGACCCAAGTACATTTTATACAAAATTGAAAAAGTCAATCCAAAAAAGATTGCTTGATAGCAAAGACGATGAGTTGGTATATTGATCTCACGTACTTGATCAAAAACATTGGCCTGAAGATGTGAATACTCAACTGACATTTGGAGAAGTGGAAATTAGAAACTTGTCAATCAGACTGCAACTAAATGAAAGAGAAATGATTCGTGGATTCCGTGAATACATTCTCTAAAAGACATATCCAGAAAAACTGTTGCATTTGATACAGACTCTGAATACCATTCCCATTTTCAAGTTCTTCAAGTGAATGTGAACGTGGGTTTTCACAGATGAATCTAATTGCCACCCCAACAAGAGCTTCGTTGAAGACTAAGACAATTTCAGCACTTTGTTCATCAAACTTGTCGGACCACCTCTGAGACTTTTTGATCCTTCAAAGTACATTGATCTGTGGTTACTCAGAGGATGACATCTGGCCATAGATGCTAACAGCAGGGAAAGGACAAGAAGATTTGTTGGACGAGAATTGGACAAAACTTTGGAATTTACTATGAACATTTGCCTTAAATACAATATATTAAATTTATGTTAAGAACTGAATATATATATATATATATATATATATATATATATATATATATATATAAAAAAAAAAAAAAAAAAAAAAAAAAAAATGAGTTCCGGCATCTTTTTTTTTTTTTTTTACAAAAAAAGCACTGCCATTACATATAGAAACATGTGTTTCTGTGCTGGATTCAAGGTACTTGTTTTAACCTATAAAAGCCTACGTAGCTTAGCGCTGCAATGCACGACAGAACATCTCTCCCAGCCACAATCTATTAGACTGTAGAGTCAACATCCACGGCTTTCCTCTGATTGCCATCTCTGAGGGAGGCTTGTTGGGAGCAACAAGTAAGACGGCCTTCTCTGTGGTAGTCCCAAAATTATGCGATGATCTCTCTACTGAGGCTTGCTTAGTGCCAACTTTTACTGTCCTTTCAGCAGTAGGCTAATACTGCTTTCTGTGCCAAGGCATTTAACAACTCTAAATGACACAGGGAGAGGGGCATTGCCAGCTATCTTAGCAGTACAAACCTGTCTTAGCTGTTTAAGTTGTTAAAAATTGGTTTAAAATATTAAGTGAAATGTGATGCAAGCCTCTATATGATTAAACCAGCACCATGAATTGGTCTTAGAAGCATACAGGCAGCCAATGCAAGCTGGTCTTGTGTGTTTGCTCTTATGGGTGTCAGTTACCAATCTGGCTGCTGTATTCTGCATTAGCTGCAGTTTCTGAGCCATCTTCAAGGGCAGCCCCATGTAGACTGCATTGCAGTAATCTAATTTAGAAATTACCAGAGCATTGACTAGTGAAACCAGGATATCCATGTCCAAACATAGGTGTGGCTTCAAACATAGCCAGAGTTGATAGAAGGCACTCTGAGCCACTGAGGTCACCTGAGCCTCAAGTGACAAAGAAGGATCAAGAAGAACCCCCAAGCTATGAACCTGCTCCATCAGGCGAACTGCAACCCCATCTAGACCAGTTTGAACACCCTCCATTTGGTCAGAAGAGTCACCTAACAACAGCATCACAGTCTTGTTTGGACTGAGCTTCCATTTGTTTCATCCAGTCCATTATCACAGACAGATACTAGTTTAGTACATATACAACCTCTCCTATGACAAAGAAAAGGAGAAATAGAGCTGTGCATTATGAGCATACTGATGGAAACATACTCCAAACGCTGGATGACCCCACTCAGCCATTTCATGTAAAAGCTAAATAGTATGAGGGACAGAGCAGACCCCTAAGGAATTCCATGCTGGAATATCAATGGGATTGAACAATATTCCCCAAGCACCACTTTCTGGAGGTAGCCCTCCAAGCAGGAGTGGACCATTTGCAATGCTGTGCCCCTGCTCCCAACTCAGAGTTGCCCCAGAAGGATATTATGGTTGATGGTACAGAAAACTGCTGAGAGGTCCAGGAATATCAAAAGGGTCACACTTCCCCTGTCTTACTTCCAGCACAGGTTATTATACAGGGCACCAAAAGCTGTTTCTGTGCCAAAACCCAGTCTAAACCCTGACTGAAATGGATCCAGATAATCAGTCTCATCTCAAGAACCTTGCCCAGGAAAGGAACATTTGCTAAAGGCCTAAAGTGAGTAAGGTCTTCCATGGGAGGATTTCTTTCAGATGCATTTCCTAAGCCTTTTTCAGGAGGCAAGGAACCATTCTCTGATGCAAAGTGCCATTAATCATCTCCTTTTTCTTTTTTTAATGGCCATTATAAGCCAGGAGGTGCATGGATCCAGTACAGAGGTGGTTGCCTGAACTTGGCCAAGCACCTTGTCAACATCCTCAAGCTGTACTAACGGAAACTCATCCAATAAAAGCAGACCAGGCTGTTTCTAATTCAATGGATTCAACTATTAGACTTCAAAGTCCCAGTAGATAAAAGATAATTTTTCCTGCAACTGCCCAGCAAGAAAATTACAGTGGGTTCCAGATGGTTCTAAGATGTGCTTGGGGCCAGCATGTAATAGGTCCCAGATAACCCTGGAAACTCCCCTGGGTGGCAAATGGATGACTGAATAGAGGCAGAATCCTGAATCGCATTTAAAATACAAAATATTTATCCTCCACCCCTGGTCTCCATTCAGCCATAAAGGCTCTTGAAAAATACAGCTCTTAGATACTATCTCTCAGTTACTTGTACAATTTCCTGTGCTAATTTTCATGTTTCATTTAGGGCGTAGGAAGAAACAAAATGGGATGATTATTACTAATTTACACTGATGGTGAAAGATGGTAGTGTTAGTTAACCACAGCCCTTCATCAAGTGGAAAAGTTCCAAAGTGACTTGTGTCCAGGTTTTCAGCCATGCCTTTAGTATTTAAACTGTGGGCATAGAGAGGGAAGAGGAAGAGTTAGCAACTACCCCCACCAGAAAAAACTACATGTCTACAATGATGTACAGTGCTACCTTGGCTCACGAACTTAATCCGTTCCAGGACTCTAGTCATCACCCAAATTGGTCATGGGCCAAGTTAAATTTCCCCATAAGGTTCAATGTCAATAAGGTTAATCCACTCTGTAACTATTTTTTTAATCAGAAAAATGTGAAGCAAAGTGACAAAGGACAACAAAGATCGCAGCCATCTTCCCCGCACCCCTGAGGAGCACAGCCATCTCCCCGCACCCCCAGCACAACCAGGATCACGCCTGTCATCCCCGCACGCACCCATTATCCCGGCACACTGCAGAAGGAAAGACGGGCGGGAACATGGGTACACTTGGGGGAGGGGGGACAGGTGCAATCATGCTGGGAGGGGGGAGATGGCTGAGATAATGGTTGCGCTCATGCAGGAACGATGGGTGCAATCACGGGCACTCATGCAGGAAAGATGGGTGTAATCTTGGCCATCTCCCTCACCCCAAGCATGATTGTGGCCATCTCCCCACTTGGGGGGTGGGGTGGGGAGATGGCCACAATTGTGGTCACCACCCAATGCAGAGTTCGCGACCTGAGTAAAACTTTTTATGAAATTTTTGTTTGCGACCCAATTTGGTTGTGAACTGAGGCGTATGTGAGCCGAGGTACCACTGTATGTTTAATTCTGCAGCAATAAAGAGACACCCTGCTACTTTCAACCCAGAAAATATACGGTTGTTGTTTCAAGAAGATGGAAATCCTTTCATGAGGTCAATAACCAGACAGGTATCTTCAACGACTGAGGGTGCTGGAAGCTCTGAAGAAATTAAGGAACTTGTAGCAGAGGTTCACCACAAAGTACCATACATTCTGAGCCATTTGTGATTTTGCAATAAATATGCGCCAGATGATCACAAGAAGGGTGGTTTTGATTACATACTGAATATTTTGTAGTCTGGAAAAAAAAGAAAAGAAAAGAGATAGGTGAGCTGCTGAAAGCATTGGCTTGTGGTGAACAGTTATTACAGGTACCGTATAAAATAGATTCACAGTGTTCTCTCCAGTGACAGGAGGCAGGCTGCTCTCCATCTTGTTTCATGCCTCTAGGCCTGATTCTTCTGTCATGGAACTTGTGTGACTGCTGCTCCCCTGTGGTTCCACCCAACAGCACTCCAGTAAAATTGTGAAGCTTTGTTGGGAGGGCTGGGATACCCTGGGAAGAGATATGTCAGTATCTGCCTTCACCTTCCATGCATGTCACTGAATTCAAGAGTGGAACAAGGTGAAAGAACAAGGGACCTGCAGCCACACCTGCTGTGCAAGAATCAGTCAGTCAGATATTGCTATTGGCTTAACATGCTATCAAACAATCATTCTGCATAGGATGGATGAGACCATTGGTTATGCCAAGGATCACTCTTCTCTCCTGCTTCTTTCTAGCCACCCTACTTTCTTTCCATGTGGTGATCAAGAGGGAGGTTGCCTAAAGGTTTTTGGAATGGAAACTCAAGTTTGCTTTTGCTTTCTGTGACTACAGTCCAACAAAGCTACATGTGCACATGTGAAGAGCTGGAGAATTCTTCATGTTTCCATTGCAGCTGCTTGGACTGCTGAGGAGGCAAGCTGTCTTTTAAACTTCTTTTAAATTCTTCACCTTTTCAGAAATATTCTTTTGTTGTAGATCCAAGGAGCACATAACAGTGCACCAGGAACCACTGATGACTCTGGACCTCAGCTTAAAAACCTCTGTGTTAAATGAACTGTTTTTAAATTGTGTTTTGAGAAAGCCTGTGGTTCCTCCAAACCTTATCATTGATTTAGTATTAGAAGATCAGTAACAGCAGACCAGCTCTCTCCTGAAAGATAGCTTTTCTAGCACTACTCACTTCCTAGTGCAAGTGCAGGGGAGTAGCATGCACACAGGGGATCCTTGGGAGATAAGCAGATATAGAAAGGTTTACTGAAGGTAAGAAGTGTACATTAGAAAACATACATTTTAGCTTACTTTCTTTTCTTCCATGTACACAGCACACACAGACTTCCATTTTGGACTTTAAACTAAAGCTTACAGAGGAGGGAGAAGGAAACTTGGGAGTAACAACAAGCAAAAGTTCTAATAGTGCCCAGTGATAGTCTCTCAAAATATGTATGAAGAAAGCTAGACTATAACGCACATGATCTTCAGTGTTTATATACTAATACCTGGGGTATGGGACACAAAGAGCACAAACTTAAACTCTTAATACAAGAGGGCAATTCAACTTGATAAGTGTAACTGAAATTTAGTGGGATGACTCACATGACTGAAATTCACCAATTGAAGCATGTAACTTATTCAAGAAGAACAGAAGGAGAAAGGGAGGTGGAGTTAAACTTTATGTTAACGGTATGTATCTCTGCACAGAAATACAGAAGAATGAGTACAGTAGCCCTATTAAGAAAATTGGATTAAAATAGAGCAAAGAATAGAAGAAACATGATGTATGGTGTCTAACTAACAACCATCTGGTCACAGAGAAGACAGTAATGAAAGTTTTGAAAGGCAAATTGCCAGTGTATCACAGAGGCACGATGTAATAGTAATAGGAGACTTCAATTCCTTCAATAAATGTTGGAAGACAAATTCTGCCAAACATGGCCTCTCCAAGAAACTCCTGACATGTTGCTGATAACTTCCTCAGTTATCAGCAACATAACTGATAGAAAGTGGAGGAAGGAAATAGAGGATCAGTTATCCTTACTTTATTCTAACCCACAGGATGACCCAGTAGATAAAGTGCTGGTTATGGGAATTCTGGGGGAAAGTGACCATACTTGAATTCTTGATTCTCTCAGAAGCTAACACTTAATTTTAGGAAAGCCGATTTTAATAAACTCATAACAATGATAAGTAAAGTCCCATGGCAAGTTGCTCTGATGAGAAAAGGAGTCCAAGATGGGTTGAATTCTACAAGTACAGTTATAAGCAATTTGAACAAGAAAAAAGTAGAATACAATAGAAAAAGACAATATGGTTACACAAAGGCTTAGAGAAGACTTGAAAACAAAAAGGACACACAAAGGAAGTGAAAGGAAAGCCAGGTACAAAGGAAGCATATAGGTAGGTAGAATGGAATTGCAGAGATAGCATCAGGAAGGCTAAAGGGAAAAATGAGCTACAGTTAGTGAGAGCCATTAAGAGAAACAGAAAGCTTTCCTTAAATACCTGTTTAGTAAAGAGTAAGGGAAAGAAATAATGATTCAACTACACAATGAAGATGGCAAAATGATAACAGATGATAAAGAAAAGGCAGACATGCTCAGTTTGGCTCAGTCTTTTCCCCAAAAGGCTTATGATGTTCCTTGCAAAGATGACGTACCAGCTGAGGGGATGGGAGTGCTGATTAAGATTGACAAGCAAATGGTCAAGGAACACCTCATTACTTTGAACAAGTACAAATTTCCTGGTCCTGATGAACTGCACCCTAGAGTAATAAAGGAACTGGCACAAGAACTCTAAAAATCATTATTATTTTTGAGAAATCATGGAGGATGAATGAAGTGCTGGATGAGTAGAGGGGGACTAATGCTGTACCTAGCTTCAAAAAAGGACAAAAGAGTGAGCCTGGAAACTACAGACCAGTCAGTTTGACATCAATCCCTGGGATTAAAATTCTGGATCAGATTATAAAGTGGTCAATCTGTACTCACTTTGAAAAGTATGCAGTGATCACTACAAGCTGAAACAGAGGCAAAAAATGCTTGTCCCAGTTGTAAATGACACAAACTTGAGTAGGAGAGCTAATATCCTGGAATTCAGAAAGAAAAGTCAAAGTAATATTGATACATTGGAGTACTGGCTAGGAAAGAACACAGTGAAATTTAATAGGGACCAATGCCAAATGCTGCACCTGGAAAAAGAAACCTAATGCATCATCTGACTCAATCATTCTACAAGTGAGAAGGATCTTGGAATTTTTATACATCACAAGCTAAATATGTGCATACATGTGGCTGCAAAACAAAGCAAATATTATTGTGGGCTGCATTGATAGAAATGTCACTTCCAAATCATGTGAAGTACTAGTTCCCCTCTATTCAGCACTTATACCTCACCTTGAGTATTGCATCCAGTTTTGGGTGTAACAGTTTAAGAAAGATGCCTATAAACTGTGAGAAGTTCAGAGAAGACCAACAAAGATGACCAAGGGACTGGAAACAAACCCCTATGAGGAAAGACTGAAATGACTGAATAGGTTTAGCCTGGAGAAGACAAGACTGGGGGAAGATAAGATCATTGTTGTGATGAAGCTCTGCAGAATCCATTTTCCTTCAGTTCAAGGATGACTCCTTGTGCTTGACACTGTCTTAGAAAGCAGGCTGAGCAAACACTTGCGGAACCCTGGTTAACTCTTCTGGGATAACTCTTCTGTGTTACAAGCAGCAGCACAAACAAAGTCTGCAAGCACATGCATAGAAGGAGGATGCCACTTGTACAGCATTCGTGTGGGGCTTGATTCCTAGCAAGTGCTGTGCAAATGTTTGGTGTGTTTTTCAGGAAGCTGGGCTCATCACCCAAGAAAGCAGATGGGGGTCTGGGGAGCCAAGCCCAGGGAAACCACTAGATTTTCACCCCCAAAATGGATTTCTCACACATCCTAGGTATCTTCAAGTATCTTACAAGCTGTCTTACAGAGGAGGGTCAAGATCCCTTCTCAAACATCTCAGAGTGCAGGGCTTTCAGAATACTGGGCTCAAGTTACAGGAAGCCAGATTTCTGGTGAACATCAAGAAGAACTTCCTACCTGTTAGAGCAATGGAACAATGGAACAAATTGCTTAGGCAGGTTGTTGGCTCTCCCATATTAGAGGCATTCAGGATGCAGCTGGACAGCCATATGTTAGGAATTTCTTAACTTGGGGTCCTGCAACAAGCAGGAGGGCGGTTCTGATGGGCTTATTGGCTCCTTCCAACTCTACTATTATTTTATTCTATGTTCTGGTCTAAACATCTCCTGGGTAACATATTGCGGGTAGTTTACCATAATGCAAGGATCCTTTCAAATAAAGTTTTCACTCACTGAAAGTTTTCTGTCCTAAAACTGCTAAAGATTATGTATGCCTTACTTTCTTAGGTACTGCTTTGTTGCAGGAATTCCAGACATGTCTTCTTTCAGCAGGTATTTCTTTGTTCCAACACAGTAGTTATCTATGTATTCTGACCAATGTAGCTGACGGACATCAAAAAAGTATAACTGAAAAGGAGTAAGGAACAATATCACTGGCATACCACAGATAGGTGGAGCAACTCTTTCAGTTCCCGAAACTATATTGAACTTTATATCAAGCAAAGCCATATCCAGTGCCCTGCAGAAGTATCCATCCTTTTGACTTTTTCACATGTTGATACATTACAACCTGGAATTGAAATTGATGTAATTGGTATTGTTACAACTTGATGTGCACAAAATACTTAATACTGTGGAAAATGTTTTTTATTGTGGTGTGGAAGTTAAGTAAACAAAAGCTGGCAAGCACAATTTCTTATTGTCAGTATCAAGCATCAGATTCCATCATCAGATTTTGCTGATACCAAGTTCAAATTTATCCTCACTGTTCACATTTCTAGACCACTCTATCACAAGCCTACCTCCTTTCTAGTGACTTCTTGAAGCTTGCAAGAATAGATAGAGAGGTCAACATGGTTTGAAATGTTCCCAGAATGTGCTGGGTTGCATATGTTATAGCCTGATCAGTTTTCCAGAATTCACTCTTTCCAAGACCAAGACCAAGTTTCATTTGTGTAATTTGGTGCCATCCCTATTAGAAACTTGATTTGTTTTACTTACTCTCTGCTCCAGTGCTGAAAGTAACCATTCAAAGCACAGATGATGTTATACAAATGGGATCTGTACTCTGGTGATATAATATGCTTACTTTCTTGTCTTTTGGACTGAGCTGGTTCATTAACATATTCATATTGTCTGCAGTCCATTCCCAAGAACGGCTGGTAAAATAGGCAAATAAAGACATGGATTTGTCCAGCTGATTTAGGATCTTCATCATCCTGAAACAAATAATAGAAACAACTGAAATGGTCAGGCTTAGCATGGGTGATTCATAAGCATATAAGAATTTGCATCAGAATCACAAAACTTTGCAGCTCTCTGAATGGACTGGCTACTCTGGTTTAAGCTTGCGCTTGGAATGCATTTCAAAAATCATTATCAGAGCTAAATAACGTAAGAGCCAAACTAGCTTAATCCAAAGGCCTATCTAGTCCAGCATTCTGTTTCCTCAGTGGCCAAGCAAATGCCTATGGCAAACAGCAAAATGGCATGAGAGCAACAGCACCCTCCTGCTCATGTTCCCTAGCAACTGGTACTGGACCATCATTGCTAGTTGCCACTGATAGCCATATCCTCCACGAATTTGTCTAATTCTTCTGTACAGCTGTCCAGGTTGTTTGCCACCCTGCAGTAAAGAATTCAATAGTTTAACCCCATACTGAGCATGGTTTATCGATATGCTTTTATTTGCCCTGGATTTCCTATCATACAGCTCCTTGAATGTTCAGGGAACTGAGTACTTCAGTCAAACTGTAGCCTCTTGAGAATAATATAAAGCATCTAATACTGATCAGTGTAGAAGACAGATGAGCTACTGGTCAGGCAGCCCATCTATTCTTATTTTTTTTCTTCAGTTTTCCTCATTGGCTAATCCTATGATCCCTGTGACTTATTTGTGCTCATCAGTATTGTAATGCTGGAAGCTATGCCTAATGTGATGATGATGAAATCTCTTACAGTGATTAGCTGAGCTGCTAAATCCTCACCACAATCCTCACTTCAATAAATTACCATCAGTTTTTATTGGTAAAATGACTGCAGCCCATTAAGTTTTCCAAGATCACATCCAGTTATGATTTTTATAACCTAGTTTAACTTTTCTTTTTGCAAGATGTGTTCCCTCTCCCAGCAGTTCTACACTACTGCTGCAGTAGCAATCTAAGAGCAAGACAGAAGGAAAGGCAGGACACACAGTGTGGCTGTTTTTCTCAGCTGGCAGAAACATCCCTTGTAGTGTTTGCCAGTATGCTAACAGAGCGGCAAAGCCTTCCCTCACCTTGGCTTCCTTCCAGTTAGCCTCAAATACAAATCATAGGCAAAGGCTGGGGCCTTGTGGCCAACAGCTGTCCAGTACTGGTGTTTCAGGTGGTTTGAGGTCATGCTGGCATAAGGTATTCTGAAGGGTTTTTCCA